CGCCTGACCATTTGTGTCAATCCCTCAAGCCCTCTCCCCCTCGCCTCTCTCCCTCGGACCGGTTTCCAGGCGCCCCGCAGTCTGCCTTTCACCGGGAGGGAGGGGCCTTGAAACCGACGCCGGAGTGGCCTGCGTAAGGGAGCGTCGCCCAACGCCTCACTCCGCTGCCGGGCGCACGGCGAGGCCGCGGCGCCCCGGGTCCACCTCGCCGAGGCACAAAGGCGGCAGGGGGGCGGGGGTTGCCGCGGAGGAGCCCGGGCTCGCTGGGGTCCGCTTTGAAACGCGGAGGGAGAAGAGCCCCGTATGCTGGGAAGGGGTCCTGGCTAGAGCGGGGCAGCGCGGTCCTCCTCGGGTTTCCGCCGAGCGAGTCCGCAGTCCGCCCGGGCGAGGCTCTGCCACTGCACACAACCTGCCGCTCCCCGCGAGGGGGCTCCCCTGGTGCCAGCCGCCCCTGAGGTCCCGACACAAAACCCGGGGCTCAGCACACCGCTGAAAACCAGAAGCGAAACTCCAAGCCCAAGCAAGAAAGCCACTGCCCCGGGCCTTCACCAGCTGCTTGTCTCAGGGCTTCACAAAAACAGAAGGGCTCAGAGCCCTCCCTGGTGCCCTTCGCACGTCAGGTGAATTTGGCCCACCGGCTTCAGTAACCGAAGAGAAAAAGGGAAACCCCCACCCGTGCTGCAGCCCGGAGAGACGTTGCCGGGGTCCTGTTTGCTCAGCACATCGGCCAGACGGGAGACCTACCCCCTGGGTGTATAGTGCTCATCCCCAGCCTTCTTCCCCTGCTTTGCCAGCCGGCTCTGGTGAAGTGCGAGCACATGCTGGCGCCCAGCTTCCCCGCCACAGCAAGCAACAAAGATGAAAGTAAACCAAATCAAGCCAGAAAAAAAGAACGTGGTAACAGACCCAAGACGTAGCGATGTTGGGGCCACCGCAGACATTAAGATTCTAGGAGTGTGGTGGCCGTTTGGGGGTGGCGGGGAAATAATGGAGTCCCTGTGTTTAGGACAGTTTAAAAACCCCTGAATTGTTAATGTATGTTACATTTTAGGGCCATCAAATGTGACAGCAGCCCTTTAAAGAAAGGCAGCTGTGTTAATTTTAGCTCTATTCACAACACAGCAGGGGATGGGGAGGGCGAAATCAATATTGGCCAAATAGAAAAGGATACAATCATAGGGGTGGGAGAGAAAGAGGCCTGGGGTGGAGGACAACATTACTGACTGGCTTCCAAAAGATGAATACAAAAAATGGGGAGTACAGTAAAAAAACATGAAGATTTTTGTACTCATCTTCTTTGTGGGGGGGATAGAAATGGCATAGAAATGAGTCTCAGCACTTTGGAATCATAGTTACAGCTACTATGAAATAGTGCTGATCTAATGGGAGCACAATAAAAAACCCCATAAATTTATTGAAAAGGACATTGTTTTCTTTACAGTGTTAAGTTAATGGTATTAGACAAATGTGTAAATAGGAGCCAAGACCACAGTAATAACCTGAAATATTAAAGTAATATTTACAACAGTTTTGTTTTTTTACAATAGGTAGCAACTTTGGGTCAGTTTAAGATGAATACCACCTTACTTATAAGTATCTTGAGTATTTCAAAATGGTTTCTCAAAAACATTCACTACTTTCTGAAGACTGAAGAGGGTAATTACAGTGGAAATCCTGTTGGTTCTTTCAAAATGGATTTGCAAAGTTCTCCCCTGGAGAAGGCTGGGTGAGGAACTTGCTCTACTCATTGGAATTTAGTAATAATCATAATAAATTATATTTTTGCCAAATCTTTTAACGAGGAGAATTGCAGCACAGTTTACAAACTCCCATGCCTCAGCACAGCTCTATGCTCTGGCAGTTAAAATCCTCATGTGTGGATGCCAACATAAAGTCAAGTGTTGGAGTGATGTTGTAGCCATGATGGTTCACGGTGTGCAGGAGAGGTAAGGATCTTCATGGGTGATATCTTTTATTGGACCACCCGCACAATTGGGATAGACTCAGACCAGCTTTCAAATTCAGTGGCCCTGTAGAACAGAAACCAGGTATCCTGACTCCCAGTCTGTTGCTCTGACTTCTTAGTACATGGCCTCTCTTTTCTTAATTACTTGATGACTCACAGTGTGTTATGGCCAGTTTTACTTTGTGCACAAGAGATACTTGGAAAGGGACTACTCTAAGATATGTTTATAAGTGTTTCAGGTGACAATTATTAACAAAAAACAAAGTTTTAATGAGACATATGGATCCTTCAATCTGTGCAGTCATGTGGAGTTGCAGGTAGCACATTTTACCTGTGGTGGTTATAGATAATTTTGACTTAATATTTAGGCCACTTTTTTTTTTTCTCTCCCAGCAGTGCTGTCCCACATTCAAACAAAGTTAGCGGCAATATATACAGCAGATAATGACTATAGGAGCAAAAGCATGATTAGAAATAGCACAGCCTCCCACATCAGTTGCCTTTCCCCAGGCTGGAAAAGTTCATCAAGACTTAATAGTATCTCTCAAAAATCCTCTTCTCAAAACATTTCAGTTCAGGATATTTTGCATGATCTAATTCATCCTCAATCTTCTCCTGTTAAAAAATGTTTTCAAATTGAGTTTATGCTGAATCTATCCTGTATCCTATTTAGATATTTAGCACAAATGTTAAAACATTTAGTAGTTAAAATGTTAAAATATTTAGTAGTTACCCATCTTCCTCCCTAGAAGTATACCTTTAGTCAAAAGTAGTCTTACAACTTCTTTAAAGGAACACAAAGTGCGCTTATCCTAAACAACAATATTTCTAAAATAATTATTTTGCTGTTGGTTTTACGTCAGCATTTTTTTAAAATGGCCTTTAATTATGAAATCCTCAAGTATGTAGAAGTGTTGCACATTATCACACTGTAAAGGTGAGTTAGATCTATGTTACAGTGTGTTTTGACGGGTAGGCATATATGTTTACATTTGTACAAGGCCCAGTGGGAGATAAAGAGTAGAGTATTAAAAAACAACACACATTAACAAACTTTTCTTTCCTTACAATGAAAGCGTAGTTTATAGCCTGTGAGAAAGAAATAGAAAAACTGACAAATGTAACAGTAGAGAAATCAGATTTTTAAAAGACAGTTCAACTCTTCACCCAAAAGAGATATTTGTTTGCTCCTTGTAACAGGAATGATTAAATAGATACTAACCTTTGAAATGATCAGCAGATTGTTTGTAACAAAATTAAAAAGTAAAGGCAAAAAATAGATACTATAAAGTAACCATAGGTAGTATATGTAAGAAGATAAGTGATTGACCACTGTTGGGTTGGTCTAATAAAAGATATCAGATTCACCCAAGGAACCTTGTCTAACTTTTACATTGAGTTTATCACATGCATATACAAATGTATTTACTTGGCGGCATGTCTACACATGCAATTAATGCAAAACAATTAATTCCAGAGTGTGCGTCTGGGATAGCAGCATATTGAGCTGGGTTGGATAATCCCGGCTGGCAGGGGGCCCCAGGAGTCAGCCTGCCCACTGGGGCTGTTCCCCTTGGCTCAATGTGCTGTGGAGGGGCTCACTGGGAAGCAAGGGTGCTTCAGTGCAGGGCTAACTGGCAGGCAGCCCCTGCACTGAAGTACCCTCATGCCCCAGCCAGCTGGGATATCATTTATATGTGTAATGATATCCCAGCTGGATATCATTACACATATAATGTGTAATGATATCCACATTATCAGTGTGCTGCTGTAGAGTTTTATACTCTTTAGCAGGATAGTCCTTGTAATTAGAAGACCTATCCTGCTGTGGAGTAAATTAGTTTACTCCAACTTAATAGGGGCGCACATGTAGATTCCCAGAAGTTTACTGTGCAACTAATTAGTTTATTGTGCAGTAAATGTCTTGTGTAGACGTGCCCAACAAGAGCAAAATACTCTCAAATAATTTGATACGTTGTCTAATGGAGTCAGAGTTCAATGAATTCAGCCATCAGTAGATAGACATGCTAACACTATAATACAATGAAACAAGTTAAGCACCTGAATAAATCTTGACTACAATTAAAAACTAGTGGTGCCTGATGACCAGTTAAATATTTTTTAGTTGCAGATGCAAAGAGTTTTGAAAGGACAATACAGCAGGATGAAAATAAACATTAAAATTTACTGAGATCATGGAGATTAAATTGCTTCATGTAATGGAGTTCTACACAAGGAACAATGTCTGAGGTCAGAAATGATAAATAAGCCTGTGTCCATCCATAGTGTAAGAACAGATCTTGATATGTCCTATTTTGGGAATCCATAAACATGGCCATCAAAGATAAAGCATCTAAGTATGAAATTTGCATCACAGAACACTATGCTGTAAACCTATTGCAAACCTGCAATTACTCACCATGGGATTCCAGATCAACTCCTAGCAGATAGTGCCCCACAATTCAGTGCCAATTCTTGCTGACATAAACACTTCCCTTGTAATCATATCAAACTCTTACTCATGTCAAACTGTTAGTAGAAAAGTCTATTCAAATAGCAAAACATGATAAAATACAACCTGGCTGTTTTAGGGGTTCTTTACCTAGCATTGTAATATAATCTAATAATAGTAGAATACTCACAGTACACCATACTTTATTAGACTACTCATAGACTTATGAGAAGGACAAAAACCTTAGTCAATATGTAACAAACATGTTGACATGTTAAAAGACGACTGTCTTGAGCCAAAGACAGTTAGCCCTGAGGTAGGTCCAGAAAATCTATATGTGAAAAATGGAATGGAAAATATACTATTAAAAGATCCCAAATAGTAACCCTCATTGAAAAGTACAAGAGACTTCAAACAGAAAAGATGCTTGGAAACCTGCAAAAGTACTAGCCATTTGCACCTATGATGTATGTCATAATACTCCAAAGAGGTTGTTTGGACCAGAGAAAGGAAAAACTTAAAAGCCTCAGTTTGATTCTGATTCTCTGAATTTTGGAACAACCAGAATGCACCTGGTACATGCTCTGGTGCTGTCACCCAGTCCCTGACAACAAAATAATCACCAAAAGCAGAAAAAATGGGGCCCAGGTGATGGTACCACTAATAGCCAAACCACTCCAGAAAAAGCTGCAGCAATCAGAAAGCCATTAAGGTTCACAGACAGTATTTATTAAGAGGCATTCAATAGCTGCAGACTAATTCTCTATTATCTATTAGACGCCTCAGTGTATTTTTCCATAGCTGTTGGATGCATGAATTTGTCATGTTTGTGGAAATAACCCTTTTTTTCTCTTTGGTTTGAAAAAAAAAAGGGAAGATTCAACTCGTCCCCTAAAGTCAAAGATACTTTACCCCTGCCATGTGACACCTATTGTAATCCTGTCCTTCATCATGTAATTTAGGCCAGAAATAAAGATCAAACTTTTTCCTAGCACTCCTGAAAGTCAAACATTATTATACTGCTTTTTATATCTCATACTTCAGAGAGGGGGAAGAAGAAATGTTATGCACATTCAAAGCTAACTCTGGAAAATCTTTTCATCACAGTACCCACAACATTGTTGCTTAATAATGTTTATAGAGTAGTTTGAACTAAATGCAATATGTATTGACTGTGAGGAAGATTTTATTTTGTTTTGTTTTCTTTTTGGAAGAAATGTAGATGATCCCTTGTAAATTAAAGCCTTATGCTGCCTGTGCTTTCCAGTGCAATCTTTGATTGGATGAGAGAGAAGCTGGGACTGTAATCATTCCTGTGCTGGAAGAAGTTTTCTGGAGAACAAGAAAAACTCAGGATTCTTAAAAGGGCAACTGCAGCTCGCAGTTCACTTTGTTTGGAAGGAAACATGCATTTTGTTCTCTTTCCTTTTCATCCTCTATTTTAAATTAATTTTTTAGGATGATATAGAGAGCCTCAAAACTACCATTTATTTTATTGTTCTTTTAACATACAAATGGTGCATTTAAGGCCTGATTCTGGAATCCTGACTTCCCTGACTATACCTATTGATTTAACTGAAACAAAGGAAGTGCTTTGTAACTGAAACAAAGGTGAAGCTTTGTCAGGCTGTGGGATAGAGCAAGAAATTGACTGACAGGTAAAGCTGACACTGCTCCTAATCTGACACTGATTCTACTTGGTGTAAAGTTATTGACTTCAGTGGACTTACTCCTGATTTACAGATGTAAATGAAGTTAGGATCATGTTCTCTGAACTGTAATTCCCAAGTATCAAAAAAAGTTGTAGGAGGAAGGAAGGGGGGCGTGGTATATGTAGATATAGTCCCAATATCTCATCTGGGACAAAATCAGATTTACTTATGTACTAGAGGAGACATTTCATGAACTTGTAGATGTCACTGTTAACAGAAAGTAGATTAGTCCTTACTAAGGAGATTCTTTAAAAAGAAATTTTCAGCCCTTGTCCTGGCAAAGAGAGTTTTGAAAATATAAACAAGTGCAAACAGTTGCCAGTTGACTAGGTGGCCTGACTGGAATGAGCCGTTGTGATCCACTTCTAATGATTTCTTCACTTACATCATTGTGTCATAAGACACACACTTTATATAAGACATGTTACTTGAGCTTGGGTTGTAAGCCAAATAACCTCCTTGCTAGAGCTTCCCAGAGTCTTCAAGATGACAGTATGAATAATAACTTGAGGATATTAGGCAACATTCATCCATTATGTTTCCCCCACCAGCAGCTGTAATAGTGCTTGTGGAAATGAACACATCCTCTCATCATTTCCAACCTAACAACTGCTTCAACAGCATGGGAGGGAAAGGGAAACACTTTAAAAAACTCAAATGAACATAGGGCAGGAAGTGACCTCTGGGGTCATCTGGTTCACTCACCCACTATTATAGACATCCACAGAATAACAATCCTTTCATAAAACAATCACGTTTTTTACCACCTCTACATCACTGTTCTCCACTGAAAGTCTCTGACCTCAGATCCATGGACAGATCTAGGAGTTTGAAAAGGTAGGTGCAAATGGCATGGTGCATCAACACAACACATGTGTTTCTTCAGTTAAAGAGAAACTAGCTTTATTTTAATTAGTTAATATTATTAAATAATTATAATTATAATTAGTTAATATTATTAAATTATTTTATTTTAGTTAATATGCTAGGAGCCCAGTGCTATATTATTCAGTTTAAGATCAATTCAAAACTAAATATAACTTTATTGGAATGTTTACAAATTTGCTAGATTACATCTTATGTATTAAAAAAATATAACAAACTAGACAAAATTAGTCAAAAGATATTGTTTCATTACTTCTGTAGAATGATAGAAAATTAGTAGGGGTGCACCAATAGAGATTTTGGGTGCCGATACCAATAGCCAATTTTTAAGGAGGCATATCGGCCGATACAATCCGATTTCCAATACGAAGCCCGGCAGCTTGAAGAGCTGCATCCAGCTGGTAAGTCTGTTGTGATGGAGTTGGGGGGGAGGAAAGGGAAGTGGAGGCCCCTGAGGTGAGGGAGGGTGTGGGACCGGGTCTGGGGCAAGCGTTGCCCAGACAGAGCGGGGTGGGGCAGTGTGCAGGACAGAGCCGTGGCTCAGCTGGGGGGCATGGGGAGGGAGGGCAGCTCCCGCTGCTGCATACACCCCAGGAGGGCAAAGGGGATGTGTGCCCCTGGATCTGTGTGGGACAGAGCAGGGCGGGCTGCAGCTGTGGCTTGGGCTGGGCTCTTCCCAGCGAGGGCTGGGCTGGGCTGTGCTCAGGATGGGTGGTGGCAGCAGTGCTGGGAGGGGCATTATAGGAGGGGGGACTGGAGCCACCCCAAAATTTGCTGTAGTCCCCCCATTCCCCCACCTCCCAGTGCTACCACTGCCTGCCCCAAGCACAGCCCTATCCCACCCCTCCATGCACCAGGAAGAGCCTGGCACAGCCCCAGCCCACAGTGGCAGCCCACCCCGCCTGCACCCTACGCAGATCTGGGGACATACGCCCCCCCCCGCCATGCCCTCCCAGGTTGCACACAGCAGTGGGAGCAGGCCCCCACTTGGTGCACCCCTGGATGAGTTGTGGCTCCATCCTGTGCCCCACCCCACCCCGGCAGGGCAGTGCCTGCCCAAGCCTCTGCCCCAGCCCCACTCCCTCCTGCACTGCAGAGGCCTTGATTTCCACCCCACACACCTCTTCCCTCCCACCACAACAGTCTTACCAGTTGCACCCAGCTCTCCAAGCTTCTAGGCTGTGCTCCTCGCTGCCTACATGCTGTGCTGCGACTGCACACATGCACGGTCATTTATCAGCCAATTATCAGCCACATCAGGCTGATTTCTGATACTGTCAATTTTCTTTATATTGTTGCTGATCCAATATCAGAGCAATGTATCAGTGCACTTCTAAAAATTAGGGTTTGGAAGGGACCTCAGGAGGTCATCTAGTCCCACCCCCTGCTCAAAGCAGGACCATCCCCAACTAGATCATCCCAGACAAAGCTTTGTGTAGCTGGGTCTTGTAAACCTCCAAGGATGGAGATTGCACCCCGTCTCTGGGTAATCTGTTCCAGTAGTCACAATCATTGAATGTACATCTCTTATTCAGATTTGTAATATAAAATCTGACCTTTTTGAGCATCCAACCCTTCATTGTTATTCATTTCCACACCTGAGTTAATGTTCATGTGATTAAAATTACGACACCTGAGTTGAGGTATTTAGTCAGAATTAAAAAGTCTTCAGGGTGGTGAAATAGGAGAGAGATTATCAGGAATGGGTAAATTTGCAGAAGAAGGGATAGTTTAGTTAACCAAACATCAAGACCATTCAAAAGAACAGACAGTTGTTAAAACCTGCAGAGTGAAGAGCAATTAGCAGGAATTAGGTAGCTTATAATGAGCCAAGGAGTCATCTGACCTACCCCCAACCCTGCCTGAATAGAAATACCACTGTCCCTCTGAGGCACTTGATTTTAAAGTTTGGGTGAAATAGAAATCAAAGGGGTAGGGCTACAACAGCAGCACTGCCCCGCCCCCCTCCCCGAATCCACACCTGGTTAAAAGATCATTAAGATAGTTTTCAGCTGTTATGTTCACCCTTTTGGATATACAATTAGCCACAGCTATGCAGATTCCTTTTTTTCATTGTAAATACTAAGAAAATTGTATAATCTTTTACTAGATTTGGATTTGCCATACAGAGCCACTAATTCATTACCTGTAGGTTTGATTATTTTCACTCGCTCTATTTAGGTGTGGAGTTGCTGACCTTAAGAAGGGTGCTGTTTAGACAGTACATAGCACAGAAGACCATTTGTGTGAATGCTACTGAAAATATATTATCCCAACACTGTTTCTTCAATGGCTCCTATTAAATACTGGGCCCAAATCATGGTTTTGTGTCTCACCTTTGAAGCCTTAATGGAATTAAACCAAATAATATGACAAACAAGCACTCCCCAACAGATAGACAGGAATCAACTCTTATACAAGAGACAAACACTTCAGCACCGGCCCATGAACTGAGTATTGGGATGATCACAGACCAGAGCACTTTCTGGGCAAAATGCCAAGCCCATTTCTTTCCATAATAATACTGTAATTTTGGGGGGGCAAGGACAAAAAGGGTTTTACACAACTATGTTGCATATAGTGCAAGCTAAGGCAATAACTTTGTGATGCAGCACTCTGTTAAAACTCTGGAAGCATATTGTAGCTGGGGTTGTGTAGAGTATTGTCCAGTACTCTGCCATTCTAGACCTTCTGCTCTGACCATCTGAAAAGTAAAAGAGACAACCTGAAAATGGTGCCTTTATTTGGAGGCCTTGTAGCTAAACAAGTAGTGGAAAAATAGTCTTTCTGCAATAGTCTTCTCCACAAGGGTAGATTTACTTACTTTTCCCAATTCAGCTTATTTAAATATATCTTGGCTATTTAAAATGAAGATTATTGTTAGTCAGTGGGCACATCTACATGTTCATTAATGCACTTTAGGTAATGCACATTAAATTTAGTACCTCCAGGAACTTTTACACATGCTCTGAAGGTAGTTCAAGCGCACCCACCACCATTTTTAAGTGCAGGGACACTGATACACAAGAGGCAGAAGGCTGCTGTAGCACGGCAATTGCCAGGCTCCAGCAGACTTGATTAATTGAGTCTGCTCTGAGGTGCTGGAATTACTCTGCTGTGCATGCATAGGCACCCTCCATTCTGAGGTACTAGGAAAGGGCGCATTAGCGTGTTTTAATACACATTAGCTAAAGAGCATGGTTTTTTGGTGACACTTTAATGCATGTTAAAATAGGCTAATGCACATTAAAGCTTACATGTAGACATGCCCAGACTGTATTATTTTGAAATAACATGGTATTTTAAAATATATATTTTTAATAGCCTGTGATTGGCAGTAAAATGATTCTAAAGAAACACCATATTATTCCATGCAGCTACAGGATAGATTTTATTTGATCCCTACCTAGAATTCTCATTATTCTTTTTTGCTTTGCTATTCTAGAGTGAAAATTTAATTGTAGCACAGTGCACCCTCCTACACATTCATTTGACTAACAGTGTAAGAGTTAAAGGTCTAAATATTCTTCTGGGCAGGGTAGTGCTAGCCGTGGCTCACTCTGAACTCTGTCAGTGTTGCCCTCATATTGGCTAAAGGGGTTCACTGATCTGCCTCATGAGGCACTTTTACCTCCTTCCCACAAAGGTGAGGTTTACTGCCTCCATATTGCATAATGCAAATATTTCACAATTGTACTCCATCCATAATGGAACTTCAGATGCTCTGAGCCTCATTCTCATGTTATTTTAATTTTGCTTCATGCCTTAAAAACTCCCATAGGACTTGGTTTCCATATGAATCATTAACACCTACACACTGAAGAAACATCACAAGCATCACAAGTTTAATATTGAGAAGTTTTTGCCAGTTCCACATTGCTACTCCTATTGCACCTTTTTTTCGGTTGAAATGTACCACTTTTCCAATAAGGGGGTTAAGGCATTAACAATATGAAAAAAATTCACCACATCCAAGGTCTGGAATAGACTGCTGCTGGAGGGGGTTCAAGCACCTACTTTGAACTCCTTCAAGAGACATTTGGATGTTTATCTTTCTGTAATCCTATGTCCCCTACTGTCTTCCTGCCCCTGGGGCAAAGGGCTGGACTTGAAGATCTTCCAAGGTCCCTTCCAGCCCTAATGTCTATGAATCTATGAAACAATTTGTGGCCATTATTCCTAGCAACCCTGGGTGGTGCCTGGGAGAACGGAGATTTCCCCAATTCCCACTGGTCCCCCCTGGTGAGTTTGTAAATGGCCACCAGATCCCCTCTCAACCTTCTCTTGTGGAGGCTGAATAGGTTCAGGCCCTTTAGCCTCTCTTTGTAAGGCCTGCCCTCCTGCCCCTTGACCATGCGAGTGGCCCTCCTCTGGACACTCTCAGTGCCAGCCACATCCCTCTTGAAGTTCAGCGCCCAGAACTGGACACAGTACTCCAACTGTGGCCTGACCAACGCCATATAGAGGGGAAGGATCACCTCCCTGGACCTGCTTGTGATGCATCTGTAGATGCACAACAAGGTGCAGTTAGCCTTACTGACCACTTCCTCACATTGGCAGCTCATGTTCATTCTGGAGTCAATAATGACTCCAAGATCCCTTTCTGCCACACTTTGGCATAAACTGACCTGGTCCTGGGGCAAAGACCAACAATCAGTTGATTGGATCAGAGCTAGTTAAGACTGATGCAGTCCTGTGGGTGAGACCAACCATCAGATGATTATCAGCCCCAGTTCCAGGACCTAGAGCCCGGTGTACCCAGATGTCAGGAAACTGCACACACAGTTCTTAAATGTCCCAGCACATGGGAACCTTGGCATTGGAACTTCTTCTCTATCCCAGGGTCCCCTTGCCTGGGATGTGTCAAGTGCTTGCTCCACAGCTCCCTGGAAGCTTCAGGGCAAAACAGTCAGCCTTCCAGGTTGCAGAGAGTCACAGGGCTCTTTGTGACAGTACCAGAACCGAACCTGCTCCTCAGCCCCCACCACAGCTGCGGGGCAAGACAAGAACAATGCCAGGTCATGTTAAGCCTCACGGCTCCCCATGACTCAGCACCCTGGCTCAGCTCATGAGATCCCCTCATATTCTTACCTTGAAAACAGCAGGGTGCAGCTCCATGCAAGGCTGACACTGGGAGCTGCCAACCAAGCCCCAACATGCCATGGCTATTCCCCTGCCACACATTCAATTTAAGGCATGACAGAAACCAACCACAAAATATGATGCATATTTTGTGGAATATTTTTGTGGTTGGTTTTCCATTATGCAATCAGCAGTGTAGGGATGTGGCTGCGTGCCTAGGGCAAAGCAGAAGTAGCAACTTCCAATTGCCGCTGCAGTTGCAAACATGAATGTGTGGGTACCAGCAGCAGCTGCTTTTTTCATCCTCCAAATCAGTGCCTGAGGCAGCTGCCCCATCACCCCTCCCTCCTCCCAAGTTATATCACCACATGCCATTAATTCCCTGAACATGCAGCAGGGTTACTATTTATAGCATGATTAACAGGTTTGTCTCATTTTAAATGCCAGGGCCCTATTTATCTGAGATATTAACCGGTTTTCTAGCTATAACACTGCACTGGCCTAGACAGAAGGACATTGGTGTCCTATGGCCTGTAAGATCATCTAATCTAGTCTGTGACTTTTGCCCAAAGATGGCCAATATAGGCAGTGAAGTTCCCTGGCTTGCCTTAAGAAGATGAACCTCCATGACTGGCCAAGATAACTTTGCTTTTGTCTATAAATGTCACTCTTATTATACATACACTGTTGTGGTTGTTCTTATTGCTACTGGCCCATACAGTTACACGGATCCCTCCACAGATGTAACATGAAGGGATGATTAAATCATACACAGTAGTAGATCTTGAATAACATAATGTTATTCAAGATCAACATTATGGTCATGGCTTCAGGGCCAGTGTTCTAAATAGTCAAAAAGGTCCAATCTTTTCAGAGTGGGCCCTGTTTATCTTAGGTCATAGTACAAATTTCTATCACTTGAAGTACTTTTAACTTCCCCAAGTCAGTTATGGTGATGGTAAATTAGATGCTATTCCAGAAATATGATAGCCATATTATTTGAAGGATCTCTGTTGACTTCTGTCTAATGTAATGAACATAAGATCCATAATCAGCAGAAATATTCTTCTATAGAAAACAACTAGCAACCTGTTAAAAAATATTTTCTCCATGCTTCCCCTTCATGGCAACTATTCCACTATTCTCAGCATTTCTTAAAATATTCTGGATTTTTTTACCAAATAACTGAGGAACTAATATGAACTCATAACTTATTTTAAGGGCCTCTGCCCCCCAAACAGAAACCATACATATATTATCAAAATAAATTCTACCCATAACTACATAGTTTTCCTATGATCCTCACAAGAAGGTATTTCACGCAAAAAATTAGCCTCCTGATTTCCAGAAACAACAAATATTCTACTTCAAAAAGATATTCACTATCCTTTTCCCAGGAGAGTGTAAAGGTATTCTCAACAGTACATCTCCATTCAGAAACTCTAGGTAGGCTTTGGAGAGATACAATAGGAGAACACTATCCTTGGGATTTCCATTTTGCAACCTACAAGGCTATTGTAGTTTATTGGGATAATAATTTATAAAATAGGTTACTAATGTCATGTAATGCAATCATTTCCATCTTTAAGTCATAGAACTTCAGTGAAGTTGAACAAAAAGAAACTTAAATCACTTAACGATCCCACACTTCCATATGCTTATCTCATACTTTGTCAGAAGAGAAACACACAGATAACATTGAATATAGTTAGCACTATTCTAGTTATAAAGGCCCTATTTGAAACCAGTTACTGTCTACTCACCTGTACTGACTTCTGTCTACAACTCATCTGTGCTGGCCTTTTTATAATTTTATTTTGGAAGGCATTGTATTATCAGTAAATGGTGATTTACTAGGACATGCAGAGTAAATGTTTGTGTAGGTGAAACCTCCCACATAAAACAGAGAACAAGTTCTCCCCAGCAGCATGCTAACTTTGTACTCTACTGTGGCACATATTGGAGCACTGATATAGCAGGTTGTTGGAGGATCACCCCAACTCCCATGCCAGCTGTTGGGAACGTAGCCAGGGGTTCTATACCTGTTGGCAATCTTGGCTGCCCTGGGAGCTGTTGACAGCTGGTATACCTTGCAGCAGCCCTCCAGATACTGGAGTATAGGGTATAGGACTGACACATGGCACAGAATCAAGGAATAGTTCCTGAGTTGTGATGTGCACTTCTTGGCCATAGCTTAGAATCAGTGCTATAAACAGCACATAATTATGCATTGTGTTGCTTTAAAAAGTTAAGAATAGTTGCAGGAAGTATAAATTTTTCCATTCCTCTCCAGGAAGCCATTTCTGCTGCCCTTATATTCCAGTGAATTCAGAAGTTGCATGAGTCTCTAAATCAGCAGATCTGACTTAACCTTTCCCAGCAGGATCAATATCTTTTGACAGGGTGGGGTGTTCAGCTGAACAAGTGCCTGTAGAAATTAATAAGAGATACAGGACTTAGAATGTGCTTGTGGAATGTTAAAGGAATAAATAATCCTATTAAAAGGAAAAAGACCTTTTCTCAAAATGGAAAAAAGCTAAAATTATCATTCTTACAGGAAACCCAGCTTTCCACTGAGAAGGATGCCAGATTAGAAATGGAATGGGCTGGACATGTGTACTAGTCCTCATATTCTAGCCACAAATGGGCCACTTTACTTAAATGTTGGCAAGCTAATTGAAAGATACTGCAAGTCCAGACAGACAGGCTACTGGGGAGAAGCAAATTTGGAAGAATCTCTATAATAATAGGCCCTGGGTAATTCAATTTATAACATCTGATCAGACTTCTTCATCAAAGCTCCAGACTCTGTGTAGGTATGCACCAGTCCTTCTGACGTTAGTATGGCCGAATTGGGGCCATAGTATAAACTCCAGATGAATGCAGAGAGCACTTACATAAGAATATACTTCAGAAAACAACACTATTTTTGTCATCTAACCTAATTTGTTCTGGGTCTACAATGGCTATGTAACTTTAAAGATCCATTTATTGTTAAAAGAGCTGTGGCAACTGAAAGTGGTTTGATGTTTAAAGGAATATGCAGACAGAAGAGGTAACTTTACTGTTTACCCTAACCCCACCAAGAAAGAGATCTATTATTTCACAAACAAAAATTGCTGCAATCACCTACTTGATCACAAACCAGTTTTACTAAGTGTTGTAATTAAGGTGATAATTTATAAGAGATAAATATTGAAAGATTAGCAGCACCATTTAAAAGGATGCTCAGTATATACAGCATGAGAATCTTTGCATTGGACTATTTGACAAACAATTCATAAGTATCAAGCTTGTATCATGATGAGGAACACATGAAGAGCTGTTCTTAGAGGCCAAATACCTCTAGCACAGTGTAGAAAACATAAGATGAACCAAATAACATAAATTATTGGAAATCCAATACTATAATCATCCAGATTCTATAACATATACTGGAATTATACCAGAAACTGGGCATGATGGAGGGTCCCTAATTTCTTCTAGCACATAATATAGTCTCATGCTTACATAACATAATATTAAATGAATCGGATAAATTCCTTGCTCCTTATATTTTACAGAAAGAAATATTGGTGTTGAAATGGACAGAACAACTCGTTCTTCATACATGTAGCCAAGAAGCTGCACCTGTTTCTTTAAAGATGTCCTATTTGGTATAGCCTCTGTCACCTTGACACTGAATAACTGCAATGTGATCTGAATGGGACTATACATTTACGCAGAAACTGAAGCTGATACAGACTTTATCCTCTCATGTACGTGGCATATCTCATTGACGTTACTATGCTTTGGGTATCGTTACAAGGCACTTAGCTCATCTTTTCTGGCCTTAACACATGGACACTCCTGTCTTAAGAGCATTTAACATGTGGGAAAAGTAACGTCTCACAACATCCTAACAACTGCTTCTCTGTTACCTACGCTGGCTGATGATTTTTTGGCATTGGATTGGACCTAAATCATCTTACATGGCATTTACTGGAGATGTCTCCCCCTGTGCTGTAGATGAAATGTAGAAGCACTTTATCTCGGCCCTTCTTTGGTTCAAAGCCTGTTGATGTGGAGTATGTTTCAAAGCCCATCTATTTCACTCAGCTTTTGGAAGGAATGGGATACTGGGACACATGATGGTAGAAGCAAAGAAGTCCTCAAATATTATTCTTTAATGCAAGGCCAGCCTACCATGTTTTGGGGCCCCATGCAAGTAATAGTTTTGGGACCCCTGCATCAAAGAAGCCAGAGGCAGCAGCAGTGGGTGGGAGTGGGTGGTGAGCGGCTGGATGTACATGTGCCCCCTCATGGGAAAGTCTGAGGGAGGAGGGGAAAGGGACAAGGGTGGGGAGTGGCATTGCCCAGCACTGCACCACCCCAGCCACCTCCCAGCCCTGGCCCTGGCTGCCTCCCAGCTCCATCCACACCCTCCTCAGCCCTGACTCCAACTGCCTTGGCTGCCTCCCAGCCCCAGCAGCTGCCCAGCTGCCTCCTGGCTACACCGGCCCCAGCCCCGGCCACCTTCCCACTCTGGTCCTGGCTGCCTCCCTGCACCGGCTGGGGGGGCCCAAAGCCAGGTCCCAGAACAGGGCCAGCCTTGGCTTCACTGCCAGGCTGGAGGTGATGGAGCCCCTGGGACCCCTGCACCTACCCTGCCCCACTCCACATCATCCCCAGGAAGAGCATGGTGGCTCCTCCAGAAGCGTGGCACCAGGCAGCCAAGAGGGGATGGCATATGGTCTCCTGATCTTTGCATGGGCAAGGATGGGCCACAACTGCAAGTTGGACTTAGTTTCCGCTCTGTGTCTCTGCACCTCACTGCCACTGCTTTGAAAGTGGTGGGTACCACCATGTGCATCCCACCACTGGGCAGACTGGGCAGCGAGGCAATAGCAGTGGGCGCCCCTTTCAAAGTGGTGGTAGCAAGGCGCAGAGACATGGAGCAGAAGCTGAGCCCAGCTTGTGGGTGTGGCCCGCCCTTGCCCATGCAAAGATTGGGGGGGCCACATGCCTTCCCCTCCACCTTGACTGCCTGGCACTGAGCCTCTGGAGGAGCCACCAGCATGAACAGTGTGTGCCCCCAGCAGCTGGGGGGGCATGGCTGCACTGGCGGTGGCAGGAGCACAGCGGCGGTGAATGGGGAGCTCCTGCAGATGCTGCCAGCACTGTCAGTGGCGGGGGGGAGAGTGCCAACCAGGGGTCGGTGACCACGTGCAGGTGCTGCTGGCAGCAGCAGCAGCAGCCAGTTGGGATTGCTGACCACCCACAGATGCCACTGGCAGCATCAGCGGCAGGGTGGTGAGCGGTGACAGTGTCAGCAGCGCCTTTTCACAGCAGGTGCACCACCACACTCAGGGGGTGCACATGCATCTGCATGCACTCCCTACACATTGCCCCAGGCCGCCGGGCTCTGATTGTCCCATGACCCAGCCAGGCTGGGGGCCCAGTCATGATGAATGGGGGCTGGGCTGGGTCATGGGACAATCCCTACAGTACAGGAGCGATTGGACCAGGGGCAGGGGTGAATGATTCACCCTTCCCCTACCCCACTCTCTCCTGCACTTTGGGGGTCTTGATCTGCCATCCCCCCAAGCCCATGGAAATAAAAAAAACATTAAAGGAAACTTACCTGCCTGTGGTTGGGCCAGCTGCAAGGGCATAGGGTAGCTTAGCATGTCCACCCCTCCCCCACTGCTTTAGGGGCCTGCATCCAGGTTGCCCTAAGGCAATACTTGTTGCTGCCTTGTGTTTGGGAGGGCTGAGCCCTGTTACCCCCCCATTTCCACTGTCTATGCACCGGGGGGGCTGGGGAGGGGGCTTAGCTGTGGGGCCCCCTGCAGCCACAGGTTTTGCAGTATAAGATGGGCCATTCTTGCTTTAATGGAAGAAAGCAGATATGATTGAGGAAGCTGTTATGACGCTTGGAAAAGCACAGTTTGAGGGCTGCCAACTGGTTATTCTTTCTGAGGAGGTTCAATATTTTAGTTACTCCATCAAAATTCAGTTGTGACTAATTAGTTCAACATGGATTCAGAACCACTCTGGGAAAGGGAATTTAATGATTTTGCTAATCTAGCCCTTTTGGCGATGCCCCTTTATTCAGTTCATAGTTATTGATTTAGAAGCTACTAAGATTAAGCACTGAGGTTGAAGCATTTTTCCTATGTGTATCAATCTTCAACTCTCTGTAACTTAGTTTACCCATATGTAAAATATCAGTAATAATTCATACCCACCTCACAGAGTGTTTTGAGGTTTAATTAAAAAATGGTTGTGAAATATTTTACAACTGTGATTGGAAAACATCACTTTAGGTGTGTTAGTCAACATATTCCTTCTATGCAAATTTGAAGAAATAGAACAGTAAAGTAGTTTGAAAAAATGGAGAGCTGCAGGAACAGCTGAGCTATTAAAAGTCAGTGCCAACCAAATGTTAGAAACAATGATGTTAGAATAGGGGGTGTCAACCAGGGGTACACACACCCCCTGAGGGTACTTTGAAAGGTCCCACGGGGTATACGGGGGCTGGCAGGGATGGAGTGCCGCCACCCCACGCTGCTGACTCACAAGAGCAGGGCCAGGGCGGGGTGAGAGCAGGGCCACTGCCACCTCTCCACTGCTCATCACTTC